GAAAAATTAGGTGTCTTATCACAAATTGAATCTTAATAAGTTGCTCCATTTAACCATTAGATAGAGGCAAAAAATTGTAGTTTTTTTCTAAAAAATAACTGTAGTTACCTGAAAAAAATTGACAAAATTGCGGTTTTAACAATCGTTGGTCACTTTTTTTTGAGCGAAATTTTTAGACCGAAACTGATTTTCAACATATTTTTTAGTTTTTGAGTTATAGTCGAAAAATTAAAAATTTTATATTTAGGGTAATGCTTAGTTGGCCATAGTCTAGTTAAAAAGAGAGTGTTCCATACTTTCTAAAAACATGAAGTTTGTAAAAGTAAAAAGCTAGAAATAGCCCTCTTTTTTTCTAAATTAAAAAAAATATGAAGTTAGCCGTTTCTACAGATGCACTACTTAACATAATCTGGTGCCATTATTGTGAAGTGTTATTTTTGAAAAACAGTAATTAAAAATTTAAGTATGCCACTGAAAATGAAGACAAATCTTTCAAAATCTCTACACAAACACTAAATAGGTTTATACAGGGTGTTTCTAAAATAGGGTTCCAAACTTCTGCTGCGTTTATAACTCATTAAAATAAGCCAAAAAGTTCCTATTAACATGTGCCCTAAAACGCACCCTTAGGAAGTTATATGCCCTTAAAAGGGCTCAAACAAAACTGTTTTTTTTTTTTTCAAATAAATTGCAGTAAATGAAGGATCCGATCATTTAATAAATAAATTAACACTGCAAAGCTCAATTGAGAGTTTATCAATAACTTAAATTGTTAAGCGTTGTGGCAACGTCAGTGTTTTATTTGCCATGGCAAACAGATTTTTGTAATTTTTGGCCTAATAACTTAAAGAACAAAGTAATTTTCAAACTCAATTTACTCGAAAACCATTGGAAATATCGATTTGGACAAAGATAATATTTTTTACGTAAAATTGTTAAGATTTTATAAATCTGTAGAGAAAATTGTAAAAAATTGAAATAAAAAAAATTACGGGCCGTAAACCCACTTCACCAACCTAAATGGGACGCATATGATTTGCACGTCGAAAAATGGAGTAGCCCATGTTATTTAACGTAAAAAGTTATGTAAGACCCATACATTTTTTTCTATTTATTTGAGACCGTTTTGTCAATAACAGAAAAAAAAACAGTTTTGTTTGATCCCTTTTAAGGGCATATAACTTCCTAAGGGTGCATTTTAGGTCACATATTAATAGGAAATTTTTGGCTTATTTTAATGAGTTATAAACGCAGCAGAAGTTTGGAACCCTATTTTAGAAACACCCTTTATTATTCATCTATTCATGCTATAATTCGGTTTCCTTCCAGTTGGATGAATTAAATTAAGCTAAAAAATAAAATTAAAAAATGTATTAATAATTCTCAGGCCAATTTCCTTTGAAGTACCACTTAGTATGGCTCTTTGTATACGTGCCTTAAAATAGTTTGCAAACAGTCTGTTCTTATCTTTGCCTAATAAATATTTCACATTATACTCGTATTAAAGACTGTTTTTATTTTCAGATCCCGGACTCTTACTACCTCAGAATGGTTACAGTTATTACAAATTACAAATATGTTATGTATTTATAATGTTACTTGTTTTTATTTTCCTTTTTTTTCCAATAAAAATAGATATTGAAAATTCTGTATTACCTGTATACAAATATTTATTTAAGACAAACAGGAACCAAATGGTTTGAGATCTTCAACCATTTTATTCTCATACGAGTACATCTACTACGCCAAACAAGAGGAAAACGATTCTAACTATATGAAAAATCTTGAAAATATATCACCTCTATCATGGTAGATCAAGTAGTGTAAAGTGAATACCACTTCCATTATGTCACATAAATTCTATATAAGTAAAAGTTATTAACAAACAATAAGGGATACCTTTACTTAATAGTATTCAAATGCATAATAAATTCATTATCAGATGCTCGGGAATAAGTTAAACTTATCTCTTCAGTCTCATCTTTATTTGTTTTCAAGTTGTAAGATTGCATTAAATTACATGATATTGTGGAATAAAAACTGCTTTTTTATTTCGATTTCTTCAGTGAGAAGATACTCATTTGATAGTCTTCTATGATCATTAAGACATATTTTTCTATTATAGTTTCATGAGAAGAAATCATGAAAATCCATACAATTGTCGCAAATAAAGATCCGGTTACAAGTTGTTTCGAAATAAATGAGGCATTTATTTCTAAATATTTTCCCAATTGTCAAAATATTAACTACATAGAATTTGTAAAGCTTGTGTTACAATTATTGTGAATTTGCATGACAATGTTCTTTCCATGTCAGGGATATAGATTTAGAACGATTATAAAAGGATAATACAGTTTCAAAATGAAACAATTTTCCATTGTAACCCATTCAAAAGGCTAAATTTAAAGATTTATAGAAAGATATTAAAGAATCTAAGAATTTATGTTTCACATACATATGAACAAACCGTTTGTTTAGATTTGTTGTGACTTTCAAGATATCCTATGACGTTTGCTATAAATTTTTACAAATCCTGTAGATTATTGTCTAAAAATAAAAATAATTTGAATTGGTCGTCAACTAAAAGTCTAGCAGACGTTCGTCGTAATGCTTGTCCACTGTACTTTTTCCAGTTGTCCAGCTTTAAAAATTTTACCAGACGGCACTGATTTTATGTATACCGACCACCATTCGATGACACTTTCCACTAACATATTTGAGAAATAATCGACGTTCTACCAATCCGGGTGGACGTAAAGCAGCATATTTTTGATAAAAACTTAAATAATTGTCTCCCAGCACTGTCAAAGAACATGGTCTCTTGGTTTTGGCATTGGGAATTTTTATAATTAAGGCGGATTTCACATTTTTCACATTATCAATTGTTAAATTTAAATTAAAAATAATTAATTTTGTTCTTTTATTTTTAAAGAGTTTACTTTCATCAACAAATATAAATTATCAGGTGCACTATTCAAAAAGCAATCAACTTGATTCTTTGTAAATACTCGCAATTTTTTTCGGCACATATCCCTCATTTTGTTCCCTTAAGAAAACCACATAACTTTGAATATTTGCTTGGATCAATCCCCTTCTTTATATCCAACGCTGACCGCAACATTGAATATTGTGACCAAAGCATTGACGGCTTAATTTTATTTGCTAAGTTTGAGAAATACACCATTATAAATACATCTCCTGAATACAACTTAATGTTATTTTCTTTGCACCAATCCATAAAACGTTGGTAGACAGATTCATACATTTCTCAGATTTCTTTGGGAGAAAATTTACAGGGTTTGCAGCAATTGAACCACAAACAATCACACATGAATCCAATTAGCAATATGGCGAGTAATGTTTGACAAAGTATCCACGGCTACATCGATATATCCTACTTACCTAAGTACTTTGATTTATTATGCTAATTTGGTTTGAGTAATTTCAAAGCACAAATTAATAATTAAATGTGGAATATCAGTTGGAGAGAAAATAGTATGTTTTATTCGGATTAAAAGTGTCTTTTTTGTCTCACAATTTTGCATCCGCTAGGTTACGCTTCGCCTCGCAGATATAAAATTTACAAATCCTAATATAACAATATACTAGTCTTTGACATAACTCAGAAAAAATAATTTATAATGTGTCAAAATTTAGAATTTTGAATAGTTCTCATAAAATATGTAATTTTGCTCTATTTTATTTTAAAATAGACCTAGCTAAATATCTCCCTAAAATTTTATTAAAAAATTAGCTGCTGATGCAGTAAATATTGAAATTTGTAGGATCAAACAATTTCTATTAAAATCAAAACTTGGAATTTAAGGCCAAAGTAAATTTAGGATAAGACTAAAGGAAGATATAATTTGACATATACATCTCCACAATGAGACTTTCTGACATGCAAGGTACTACTAAAGGGACACTTTGTGTGCGTGGTTCAAGTTCAAGGCAAGTACCTAAGTTATTTGCCTGTATATACTGCACAAAGCAGTTCATTTCGCTTCCGTTCTGGATCTGGATCTCTTATTTCTTGAATCAATAAAAATTTCTAGTGGTCGGACTAGCGGTCAAGGAGAATGTAAGTAAACCAAATATGGTCTTGAATATAAACATTTATACTATACTGGATTGAAGATGAGAACGAGAACACAAACTTTCATAGAAGTTTCTACCGGAAAGATATACTTATTCATTTTTGATTTATACCAATTAGAAAAAAAATCTTTAAATTTTTTACATTATTAATTTCGTAATCATAATAAGTAGAAAAAAAGAGATAAATAATAAGAAAATTTGCTATATTAATCATAATTACAAATCACTCTATTTGTGTGTATTTCGTATGCAACCATTTCAGCACATAATAATAATAATTGGTTGACACATAGAAAACGTTTGACTACAAGTAAGTACCAATCAATATTATATAAATAATAATTATTATTAACGAGAATAAATTTGTAAAATAAATGTATGTTGTTACAGGGTTTGAGAGATGAGACCACTTTAGCTATTAAAATTATAGATAATTTTATTAATAATAGTTTTATAAACTTATCGTAAAAATATACCCCTTATATTTATACTGCCAAAGTTCAAATTTTTTTCTAATCACTTTAATGCAGAAGAATTTATTATTTTAATAAAATCATTAAATTTTAATAATACGGGTGGGAATATAATAAAATTCATTAAAAGAAATTATTATTATATAAACTGAGACTTGATTTTGATGAAGCAATGATGAAAAATATACCTGATTAAATACAAATAGTGAAAAAGGTATATATTCACTTTGTAGTCGTTATGTAGACATTTTTAATAATTCCAATTAAATGTTGATAGACTAGTAGAGATATGCTATGTTAAAACTAGTCGTTATTGTTTTGTTGAAATTGAAATTTGTTAGAAAATTCTGCCTCAAAGTAGTATTTGGAGTACTTGGAAATGCCTGAAATTGAATACGTAATATGTTTAATGAGCAATGAAACAAATTGTTAAAGTAGAAAAAATATTTATTATCATACTGAAGGAATATGATGAAAACATGAAAATGATAGAAGAAATGATGGAGCAACCGCATTGGAAATCATAATCTGCCTGTCAGCCAAATAAAACAAACTATCACAGTTTTTTAAAGAAAGCCACAGCTGCAAACAAACATGCTACCAAAACAGTTTTACAGTTGCACAACATTCCGTTTCTGATTTGCTTAAGTATAAAACAATCTTTATAACAAATAAAGCTATTTTATAATTAAATAATTTGATGAGATGGACTGCGGCGTGCGGAAATGGGAAATGATCAGTACTATTTACAAAAATTTCCTAAATTTTGTTCACATTAGATAGTACCGATACTTTTTAAAGCTACTATCTAACGTGTACAAAACATACAAAATTATCACAATTTAATGATGTCCGTAGCTACCGCCGGAAGAAAAGCTTCCAGAGCTGAATCCGTGTCCACCTCCAATACTGCCTCCAAATCCACCTCCGATGCCGCCTCCAATTCCGTGACCTCCTAAGCCTCCGTCGAAACCGCCTCCGATACCATGACCTCCTCCGAGACCACCTCCTAAACCGCCTCCGTAACCACCTCCTAATCCGCCTCCGAATCCGCCTCCCAAACCACCTCCTAAACCACCTTCATCATGTCCGGTGTGGATGATGACTGGGACCTTCTTCTTGACGATGTTAATGTCAGGAACATGTACGGGAACTGGCTTGTGAACTGGTACTGGGTATGGTTTGGGGATGTGTACTGGTACCTTGACTGGTACTGGAACCTTGTATGGTACTTTGACTGGTACGGGGATGTTCTTCACAACTTTAACTGGGTATGGCTTGTCTACTGGGACTGGGTATGGCTTGGGCACATGTACGGGGTAGGGTTTGTCGACTTTATAGGCGACTGGTACTTTTACGGGGTATGGTACTCTCTTCTCGACTGGCACTGGGACGGGGTGAGGTACTGGCACGGGGATTTGTTTATGGAGGGTAATGTGGCTCACATGTCCCTCGCTTACGGCTCCACCACCTCCGAAGCCACCTCCGATACCACCTCCGAAACCACCCCCAATTCCGCCTCCAATACCGCCTCCTAGGCCTCCGCCGAAACCGCCTCCATGGCCGCCGCCGAATCCGCCTCCGATGTCGCCTCCAATACCGCCTAGGTCTCCGCCATGACCGCCGCCAAATCCGCCGCCGCCAATTCCACCGCCGATTCCTCCTCCAAAGCCTCCGCCATGGCCGCCCAGGTCACCACCGCCATATCCTCCTATGTCTCCACCTCCCAGGAGAAGGCCACGTTTTTTCTTGGCGGCATCTTCAGCAAATACTGCTGATGTTAGCAGCAAGGTGCAAACCTGTAATAGAAAATTCATTACATTTTGTTTACATTTATTTAATCGAAATCTGACATCCACTTCAGAATCAATCAAAATCAACTCAAGCAAATTATGCCCTATTTTTAACCGTTCAATTATGATAACTTCACAGCATTGTTATTTTTGAGGTTTTGTAAATTTTGGTATGTAGAAAAGTAGGTGGTACTATAGATATTACGAATTTTATAATAGCTGTAAAGTGCTACTATAGCGTTAGAAAGAAAACAAAAATTGTTTCGAAATTTAATTATACAGATAAATGATTTTTTCTATTAGTAACAAATTCAACGTATTTTGCCCAAATTCACGGTTTTTTGGATAAATAAGGTATTATAAGCATATTAGGATTTAATGTGGAAGAATATATTTTTCAAAAATTTTTCAAGTTTGTAGGTTTTGATCGACATTTCTGTCGAGAAAAAACTATGTTTAAAAAAAATCTGATTTGAATAAAGCTTAGGTAAGTACGAAGTTAGGTTATGATGTGCCAGTTTTTTCTATAATTATTATGTTCATACTACGTCTTGAAAATTCATCGTATTAGTTTTAAAATAATATATGATTTTTAAAGGATTCTAAGGGTATTAAAGTAATTCATTTCCATTTATGTGCTTATTTTTGTTTATTATTAACTCAATTAAGCGTTTCGAAATTCTCTAGTGAAGGGCAACAAAAATTTAAATTTTAAATAAATTATATTATCTTCAAACCTAAGAGAAGTTGTTGCTTTTTATATGTTAATTATATGAAAATTTACACAACGTTGTATATTTTTCATATCATAATTACTAAATATGATAATAAAATCTAGTGTAAACTATCAATCAAGGTGTACTAAGGAAAACGCCTTACTACAATCGATGACTGAAAATTATTTCAAAAGATTACTACAAAATTTTTGTATTATTTTCAAAAAAGGTCATTATTTAAATACTTCAAAAATGATAAAGTTTAAAAGATAAATGATAAAGTAATTAATGATTAGAAATGTCGACACTTTTACCTATGAATACCGATGAATGGAATTGTAAACCTTTAACAATTTTTTATCCCAATTAAATCGCCATCATCTGACCGAAACAGCGATTTAATGAGCGAACGAAGAAGTTACTGACATTATACCGCATCCAGTTGGTATTATAAGAAAGGCACTTTTACATGTAACATTCACTAATCCCACTAATTAACTAATGAGTACTCACCAGAAACTTCATGTTAAAGAAATATAGAATACCGAAAGATATGCAACTGTTGTGGTTTAGGCGGGTGTGATCTACTTTATATACTTATCCATCCTCCCCTAGTGATAGTACTTTCTTATTCCCCCGAATCGCTTAATAGTCGACCATAAAAATTATTCCCGTGCAATACAATACGCTGCAAAAATAATTTAAACTTGAAGATACTCTAATATTATACTTAAATCTATAGGTATTATTATTTAATGTTTAAATCGTTTTAGTAAAGATATTAGCGTAAAATTTTTGTCATAGATGTGGAAAATTAGATTATATTTGAATAAATCAGCATAAAATAAAAAGATGATATGCAAAATTAAAATATGTGAGTTAAAAAATGAATTTTAAAACTTTTTTTTCTTGATAATTTAGGCATAATCTTGTTTAATTATGATGATATTCTTTAAAATAATTTTAAGGGAGCTACTGCCTTTAAAGTAATTTTTGTTTTGCCATGTTAAAATTTTCTGTAATATGTTAAATTTTATTTAGACATGGATAGTGTTGAAATAATACTGATACACAATTCACATGTGGAGGTTTTGATGGCAATGCTTTTTTATTTTCAGTTTATTTAAATTTTTATCAATATTCAAGTATTTAGTTTTAAATGAAGACGGTACTTTAGATTCAATTTAACAGAATCTCCAGATATTTGAGGATAAAAGTTTTAATGTTCGATTCTAATTAAATTAAAATTGCTGTCATTAGTTGTATTTTTCAACAATTGTAATAAAATAATTCCTCTTAACTTATGCTCTGCAGAGCTCAGTTTCATTAAATATACAGGCTGTTATAAATTCGCTTCTCACTACAGAGATCTCGGAAACGGTGAGAGATACGCAGTAGCTTAAATGGGGCAAAGTTGCAAAAAAAAGATAAATTTGGAACGAATACATTAAAGATGAATTTTTAGAGACAAAACGTCTGAATCTGGTTCGGGCTGAAACAGTACAGTATATCATCAAATGTGCAAATTTATGAAAAGCAAAAAATGTAATAAAATTTCCATAGTCGTATTTAAAAAACTGCAGTTAATGATAGTCCTGGAGAGACGAAACTTTACATATAAAAATTGATTATGCCATTCGATAGAGGGCAAAAGTTGCCATGAGAAAGTGTTCTGCAAAAACGGATTTCCAAAATTGCGTTTTTTTTTTCAAATATTTCGAAAACTAATCATTAATTTATTAGAGGCATAATATTGATCCCTTGATTACGCAACTTTGCCCCATTTAAGCTAGTTCGTACCTCTTACCGTTTCCAAGATCCTTGTAGTGAGAAGAGAATTTGTAACAGCCTGTAGGTATTTAAGAAGGGTGTATTTTATGTTGATTTAAATAGTAGTCCTGGAAATTCGATACACTATTTTTACCGCACAGTTTTAAAAAGGCATACAAAAATATCATGGCATTCTATAATTTTTAGTGTCACCTAGAATAAAGATACCAGGAGTTTCCCTATAAAATAAAACCAACGAATTTAACTACCAAATCAGATATCTTTATTTATTTTTGAGCTACAAGGTAATTTTCATTTTCTTAAGTTTTTCTACCTATCTCTGTAGGTATCTCTTAGTGGTATTAATGTAACTATTTATACGAAAATTGTTGTTTTATGTTAGAAATACTGGATTGTGATACAAATTTACTATACATGGGATGTGAAAAATAACAAAATTAATTTTTTAAAGAAATATCCTCATCTTTTCGTCTCGGTTTCAATCACCATGACATCTTTTGACATAAAATAGAATTCTCACTAAAAAAGGACATTTTTTATTGCATTTTTGGTGACCTTTGTACAAGTAAATTAAAATCATAGCCAACTATTTCCATTACAATATAACAATGAATCTTATTTATAAATAAAACCCCTTATATTTTTTATGTTTGTTAAAATACCTACGGAATTTTATTATACCATTGGAAAGCAGACAAGATCTTTCTATTAGGAATTTACTGATTTTAGTCCTTATAAGATGTAACATATTGAAGACGGTCTATAGAAAAAAGATATTTTCGAAACATTAGTATCAATGTTAAATTCAAGTATTTGAATATTGATGATATCACTAATTTATATAGTTAGAAAAAAAATATGTTATATGATAGTTGCTGTTTCGTATCTTCTATAAGTATAATGAACATCCAATGTTTCCTGTTTGTTGAAAATCGAATACTTAGATCCATTAGCATAAATAGTTTGGAAAACATGAAAATAAACAAAAAGCATGAATTGTTGTCATATTCGTGGCGAGGAAAGAAAGAGATGGAGAGAGATACTATTCATGATATTTTCAGTCAGTAGAATGAATAATCCCAGATTCTTACTTAATTAGGACCTTTAGGCCTAACACGATCTAGTAACGCAATTATAATATAACCACAGAAACACATATAACAAAATGCTTGATTCTACTATTCGATTTATTAATTTAAATTAAGCATTCAATAGTATATTGGATTTTCGTCAAGAAATTATTAAATATTATAGGCCAGGAAAACGAGCTGGCAAATGACCATTTCGTGACTTTTAGTTTCGGCACGCTTAATTTATTACTATAATGGATGCTAAATATTAGGTACAATAATATATTAGTTTCCAAAATCATAAAAATGGGAGGAAGATTGTTTACAGGGTGGTTAATTGTATAATTTTTACGTAAATTCACGTTATTTGCTTATAATTTTTTTCCGTTCATTTCCACTAAAAATCAGTAATGTACTTTCTTTTCGTCTTCAAAAGACCTACAAAACTAGTCTTCGGGCGTCAACAAATATTGATTAGATCAAAAGTGACTTTTGAATTAAGACAGTCTGTAACTCCGTTGTTTTTCAACGAATCTTGACAATTTTTTTCTCTTTTCATAAGCTTTCCGAATATGTAATAATATATAACTATATCACCCGCGTGCGTCGTATATTTCATTTTGTAACTAAGACTAAAAAATAAAAAAACTTTCTAGGTTGCAAATTTTAAATTAAAAAAAAAAATGATAGATTTCAAAGTATTATTATGAAATCTACTATGAAAAAAATCAGTGCGATTGTAGAAGATGCTCGGGATCGTCCAGACTAATAATTAGTTAATTTGTTTATAAGGCCATAACTTGTAAACTATTCAACTTACCGATTCCAGATTTCGTGTGAGTTATTAGACAGTGATAAGGAATGAGAGGATGCGATGCCTAATAATAATAAAAACACAGTTTATAAATGTTTAATTCATAAGTCATAAATCTTCTGTTTATAACTTTTGATATAATCAATATTCTTTGACGCTCGAGGGCTAGTTTGTAGGTCTTTTGAAGGCGGAAAAAAATACTCTACTGTTTTCTCGTGGAAATGAACGGAAAAAGTTATAACCCAAAAACGTGAATTTACGTAAAAATTATACAATTAACCAGTCTGTAAATAATCTCCCCCATTTTCATGACTGTGGAAACTAATATGTTATTGTACATAATATTTAGCATCTATAGTGATAAATTTAGCTTGCCGAAACAAAAAGTCGCGTCCAACTCTATATTTCCTGGCCTATTAGTTCGCATGTGTGTGAAAGCCTTAACAGAATTTTGACTGGGTGTACCGTTACGCTTAGCTGATTCCCAACTAATAAGTCCCCCGGTAATAACGTGATGCTTAGTACAATTAAGAAAATAATTGTGGTTCATGCGAGTTTAATACATGAGATTTATGTTTGTATGTTTAATAAAAATTGTTGCTGTGTTATATAAGATTTAGGCAACGCCGTCGGAAATAAGCGTGATGGCACGTTTAAAAGTTGCGGTTTACTGGCATATATCAACAATTGTCCACACACAACAAAATAAAATGTTAAAGTACTTGTAGGTACGTAATATGCTTTTGGGCAAAACACAGAGACTTCGTAAATGATTACAAGTCACGTTACCAGTAATTTTGTTTGAAACAGTAATTTTATTTCCTTTATGTTGTCAAATTTCGGTAAAATTAAGAATTTGTAAAACTATAAGATCAAGAATACATTAAAACAATCTCGAACGTAAACGCTTTGTCGTTTTTAATTGTAAACGAATCATCAATATTGGTGACGCTTAGCTTTAGGGATTTTTAGTTGACGATACCAGCCGTGTAATGTTGGTTGCCGAAGCACGGCGGTCATGTGACTTGTAATCTTTTATGAAAGCTGTGTAGCATTGGTAAAGTAGGTAAAGGAGAGTCAATTGATTAAAATTTGGTGATATTGTTTGGCATCTTGATTTATTAGTTTGATCATTCATTGTATTTCGACAGAATAGTACTGTTCATCTAGAAGATATCTGCTTTGACAAATTACACAACATTCAATGTTCAGGATGTAAAGCATAATAATTAATGGTGCCCTGAATATTAAGTCAACGTTAATAAATATAGAAATATTACTTCCTCCAATAGTCCTAAGTTATTATTAAATATATTAAGGGGATTATAGCATGTAAGGTTAATTTCTTTTTTTTTTATTAGTCAAGAATAATTCAATATCCATTTAAAGTTATAATATAATAAGTATTTATTATTAATAAATTATTTAACTTAACCTTTTCATTATCCGATTATCCGTATACAGATCATAGATTATTCGTATAGTTTTAATTAGTATTGTTCAAAAAAGTAAAATTTAAGTATACCAGATACATTATTTAAAAAACTTTTGATGCGTACTCCTGACGTATTTTTTTGCAGTATCAATAACATTCGTGTTAGAATAATATTGGAATATTTTTTGTCATTCTAGACTCGTCAATTCATTTTTCATTGTATGTATTTATAGTTCACTGAAATAAACGACTGTCAGAGGCAGATGAATTTACTATTGGCATATTTCTTTGAAACCAGTTTTTATAGGATTTCATGTTTCAACAAACAAATATTAACAACTATTATTACCAATAATACTAACCACTATTAGCTAATTAAGAATATAAAAAATCTCTAAAGCAAATTCCTTCTTTGAAACAAGGAAACAACTGATA